TGTGCCACCAACTGTCCTCAACACCCTCCCTGGCTTTCTAAGCTTGCCCTTGCATCACAAAGGCTGGAAGTCTGGAAACTACATTACCCAGATTCCCTTGCCAGCAGAATTCCAGTTTCAGTTCTTCAAATGAGAGGCTTGTGCATGAGATTTGGAAGTCAGAAGAAAAGGATAAGTCATTATTTACTTCCAGGAATGGCAGGGAGATGCATGGGCAGATGGCAGCTTTCGGTAGCTCCTTCACGTCCTCATTTCCTGAAAGCCAGCAATAGTTTTCCCTTGTCGTTGCTTCTGTAGACCTCCTAGCGGTTTATAAGATGTGAATCTCTTGTACTAAATCCCTCCCTCTTGAAATATGGAGAGTGGTTTCTATTTCCGACTGGATATGTCTGCTCCCTGCCTTCTCAGGTGTATTTAGTCTTTACACATCCAGGACCTAACTAGGATCTGGAGCTTAGTAAAGACTCAATATTGTCGTCACTAAGTTAAATTGAGTCATGAGAAGAAGTAAAAATACCATGGGTCATTTTACTCCTCATGGCTACTCCATGAGTCATGGCTCTTTGCTCACCTCCTAGCATCTGTTTCTCCCCATCCTCCTTGTCTGTCTTTGTAATGTCAGGTTGTGTGTTGAATGAAATACAACGAAAAGAGAAAAACCCTTGCAATATGACAGTCATGGGTTCAACTCCCACATCTGTTACGTACCACGTGTGTGATCTCAAGCAAGGAATTAACTCCTCTAAACTTCAGCTTTCCAATCTGTATGGTGAGACTAATTATGCTTTCAAGAGTACTTGTGAGAATAGACACTCAATAATCACCAATTCCCCTTCCTTCCAAGGTAGAAGAGACATGGACTTTCTGAGATGAAAGTGGCCTTAGAGATTATTTGTAACCTCATTCCTTTGTTTTACAGATGAGGAAACTGAGGTCCATAGAGGGAAAGTAACCGGCATTTGGTTATTAAGTATTATTAATAGTTATTAAGTGGCAGAGTGAGGGCCAAGATAAACTCTCCTGACTCCAGGTGCAGTTCGTTTTTCTACTACAGGTATAGATAACAATAATGACGATAATGACAATAAGAACTTCATGACTGCAGAAGGACATAGATGGGCCTTCCCTCAGTCAAGGTCCCCAAATAAAGAAAATGTAGAGAAAACCCCCTTTCCTCCCCAGACGTCCTATGACATACATGGATAAGCATTTGTTGTTTGGCTACTGAGGTTTTGAGGCCGTTTGTTACCAGGGAATAACCTGGCCTCTCCTGACTGATATAGGATGTGAGCTGCATGAAATCTTGGTGTACAGCTGATGTGCAATACAGCAACTCAACCTGCAGCCACAGCTAGTAAGATGCATGGGACTCTGACTTACCAGAAACATCGACGTTCCACGTGGCAAGTGAGAACTGGGGTGTGAGGCAGGGCTTTGGATTTGGGAGTTGTTAGGGCCAGGCACTGATGGAAGGCACGGGCTCTCCTGTCTCAGCAAGTGTTATTTTGAGTCTTGTGTTAAGCCATATCCAGGACCAAGAAAAGTACGTGTGAGCCAACCTCGGATCCACGTGTCTGGTTCATGGCTTCTTGGAGCCGCCTCCTGCCTCATGCTCTCACACTGGCTTTAGATAGGTCTTTACCTAAGGTCTGAGCATCCTGGTGGATTCAGGGACCTGAAATGTGGGGTTATCCTCAGGGAAGCAGAACATTTTAATCCATAAGTGGACAAAGAGGCTTGAGGATTCAGGTTATAAAAGGCTTACGCCATTGTCCTGGATTCAGGTGCCAAAAAAATCAAATGGAATTATTCCAACTCTTTTGCCCAAGAAAGGGATTAAAAGCTTTAGCTAGAAAGAGTTTGTGATGAAAGCAGCTGGGGAGTCCCTGCTTGAAGACTGGGATGGCTGCACGCGGGGGCTGAAGAAAGTGCATAGATTTGAGAGGGGAGATGGGAATGACCTGGGAGAAGGACTCCAGCATGTGAAGGGCAATTTTCAGGATGAGACACTCATACTATTGGGAAAGCGGGCCTGGCACCGGTTTGGAACAAATATGCCGGAAAACACGTGCAGTTGGTGTTAGAAGGGAAGCTAGGGGCCATGTAGGAAAGTCACGGCTGAGTGAAGCCCAGGTTAGATGTTGGGGTCTCCCCCTGACCATGGGCCCTGTGAGGGTAGGAGCTTTGTCTTGCTTGCTGCTGTATCCCAGCATCTGGGACAGTTCCTAGCGCACAGTAGGCCCTCTGTAGATATTTGTTGGATGAACGACTGTTGAGACAGTACATCCTGGCAGCCTTCCTCTTCTCAAAGAGGAAGTGACAAAGATAGGATATGTTTGAGTAATGAATACTTTTTCCCCCAACCCTGGCTTCCTCTCTTGCTATGGGGGACGTACCTGAGAACTCAGGAGAAGGCTAGGACCACAAAGGTCTGGGCCTGAAACAAAGAAATAGGAAAATCCAGAAAAGCACCAGGATCCAGCAAACAATTCCAGCCCTACATGTGGCAGACAAGGAAAGGGGCGGACTGAAGTGGCAGGCGTAAATTTCACAACTTAGTCTGAAAGGAGGCAGGCAACTCCAGAGGGAGAGAGGACGCCAGGGGCCTGTCCCGCTGCTGCAGGAAATGAGGCGGCGGAAAGAAGACCTCAGAAGATGAGCAGAGGCGAGGATTTGGAAAGGAGCCTACGGCACGAAGAGGTGGTCTTCTCCAGAAGCATCAACAGCAGCTTCAGTTGTTGGCCCTCCTGCAGCTGAGTCAAAAACTAGGGAGAAGGGTGGTCTTTTTGTTTTGTTCCTGGTTTCCTTTGCCTTGCAGAAGCTTTTTAGTCTGATGTAGTCCCATTTCTTTATTTTTTCTTCTGTTTCCCTTGCCTGAGTAGACATGGTGTTTGAAAAGATCCTTCTAAGACAATCTCAAAAAGTGTACTTCTTCTAGGAGTTTTATGGTTTCAGGTCTTACATACATGTCTTTAATCCATTTTGAGTTGACTTCTGTGTATGGTATAAGATAACGGTCTTCTTTAATTCTTTTGCATGTGGCTGTCCCGTTTTCCCAACACCATTTATGGAAGAGACTTTCCTTTCTCCATTGTATGTTCTTGGCTCCTTTGTTGAAGATTAGCTGTCCGTAGATGTGTGGTTTTATTTCTGGGCTTTCAATTCTGTTCCATTGATCTGTGTCTGTTTTTCTGCCAGTATCATGCTGTTTTGACTACTATCGCTTTGCAGTATATTTTGATGTCACGGATTGTGATGCCTCCAGCCTCACTCTTTTTTCTCAAGATTGCTTTGGCTATTCACAATATTTTGTGTTCTGTATAAATTTTAGGATTCTTTGTTCTATTTCTGCGAAGAGTGTCTTAGGGATTCTTGCATTGAATCTGCAGATTGCTTTAGGTAATATGGACATTTTAACTATGTTTATTCTTCCAATGAACAAAATGAAAAGACAACCCACCAACTGGGATAAATATTTGAAAATCATATGTCTGACAAGAGGCTAGTTTCTAAAATATATAAAGAACTCATACAACTCAACAACAAAAAACAATTCCATCAAAAAATGGGCAGAGGATGTGAACAGACATTTTTCCAAAGAAGATATACAGATGGCCAACAGGCACATGAAAAGATGTTCAACATCATTAAATATTAGGGAAGTGCAAACCAAAACTACAATGAGAGATCACCTTACACCTGTCAGAATGGCTATAGTTAACAAGACAAAAAGTAGCAAATGTTGGAGAGGATGTGGAGAAAACGGAACCCTCACACACTGCTGGTGGGAATGCCAACTGGTGCAGCCACTATGGAAAACAGTACGAAGATTCCTCAAAAAATTAAAAATAGAAATACCATACGATCCAGCTACCCCACTACTGGGTATTTATCCAAAGAACACGAAATCAACAATTGGAAGAGATTTATGCACCCCTGCATTCACTGCAGCATTATTCACAATAGCCAAGATGTGGAAGGAACCCAAGTGCCCATCAAGTGATGAATGGATAAAGAAGATGTGGTCTATATATACAATGGGATACTACTTACCATAAGGAAAGATGAAATCGTCCTATTTGCAACAACATAGACGGACCTTGAGGATACTATGCTAAGCGAAACAAGCCAGTCGGAGAAAGACAAACACCATATGATTTCACTCCTACGTGGAAGATAAACAAACACACGGATAAGGAGAACAGATTAGTGATTACCAGACAGGAAGGGGGTGAGGAGAAGGGTGAAAGGGGTAAAGAGACACATATGTATGACAAATAAAAACTAGACTGTTGGGGGTGAGCAAAATGCTGTTGCTGTAGAAACTGACATATAATAATGTACACCTGAAATTACACAATGTTATAAACCAATATGACTGCAATAAAATAATTTTTTTAAAAAACTAGAGAGAAGGGAAATGCCCTAATAGACAGGATTCACAAGGCGCACGCAGGGGGCAGAAGCAGCAGCCAGTGCGGAGCAGGCCAGGGCGTACCCAGGAGGCAGGTGACAGTCACGGAGAGGAGTGGGTGTGAGAAGAGCAGAGCCACACACACTTGGCTTGGGCAGGTTCCTGCTCAGGGGAGGGAACAGGTAGGTGAGACTGATGGGAGGAGGCAGCCCCTGGGGTACCAGGAACATGAGGCTCAAAGAAGAAACGGGAATTAGGACGTTTTATAAACATAGGTTGGACGCCGGAGGAGCCTGAAACTCAAGTAAGACCTGGAGGCAGGGGGTTGCCCCTTGGCAAATGCCAGTTTACTGGCAATTCTAGGGAGTCTGAAACCCAGAATATTCTCTTTCTGTGTCTCACATTTGTTCTCTCCATCTCCTTTCCCCCAGATATCACCAAGCATCTGCTACACCCCATGGCTGGCAGCAGACACGTGTCGCTTGGCTAAATTTGGTGGGTGTGGGGCTGGGGCTGGGCTGCTCCTGGGCGCCCTGTTGACTTTCCTGCTCTTGGAAAAGTGGACACACGAGGGACTTGGGATTGGATAACTCGGACCGGACCTCCGTTTTGCTCCAGGAGCCACCCCCACTCCGGGAGACGACTGGAGAGCAGCTGCTCCTGGAGGAGACACGCCGACTCCAGCTGGGGAGCCCCGCTGGCTGAGACTCCAGAGAAGTCAAATCTGGGAGGGAAGGCCTTTCATTTCTTTGGATTTTAATTTGCAAAAGGAAGGGAACTCCCGTGTTGAGCTTTGATTTCTTTCCTAGAATTTAATAAGGGACGGGGCGCCACAGAGCTCAAGTCCAGGGTATTTTTAAGCTGTTGGTATCGTGTTCCCTGGAGTATTTTTATGCTCTCATGTGGTGTTTGTGGTACGGCTTCCTCTGCTGAGCTATATCAGACAGCGTGGCTTGAAATCTGAGATGGGAAACGTAATCGGGGTGAATTTTTGGCCTAGGGTGCGTGGGGACTTGGAATAATTTTACTTAATACCCTGTTCTGACCATTTCAGAGGCTCTGGGCTAACAGCTGAAGCACCCACCCCACAGGGCCTGGGCAGTGATGGGCGGCATGGCCGGAAGCTGTGAGGGCACGGCTCCTCCGCTGGCCTGCACCCCTGAGAGCACAGGTGTCCGGGGCTGACTATAGGCTTGGCTGTTTAGCCCACTGGCTAAGTGGACAAAACTTGGATGGAGTTCGGCCAGAACCCTGATCCCACCTGCCTTCTGTTTCCATGGAGGAGAGGCTCTCTCCCTGCCGTCTGCTCACTCAGTTGTCCCAAGGACAGTGGAGTCGCTAACATATGGAAAGCTGCGTGCTGACCAGGAAGTGGAGTGGGAGTGTTAAAGGTAGCGCTCACAGACAGCAAGCTAACCCAGGAGGCGCCTCTGTGGGAATTTGAAAACGATGCCCCACTGGGCAGGCAGGTCCTGACAGGAATAGGGCTTGGTGAGGAGATGACATATTTGTGCAAAGACAAATGAGCCCCTTTAGCTTTTGCATGATGCTTGGAGTGGAACCGGGGCTACACTCCAGTTCCCACTTGTCCCCTCAGGGGGTGCTTTTGTGCAGTGCACAGACTGCACAGCCATACGTAGCCACCCTGCGTACCTTTTCCTAATCAGTCACCAGAGGCACTTGCACTTGAAAGTGTCCACTCCACAGGGAGCGGTAGGTGACATCTGCCTCTGGAACCCCAGCCCAGACCTCTGCTCTCTCTGTTCAGCTTCTCAGGGCCTGTGGTCTTCAAGTCACAAGCAGGCAGTGAAGAAAATGGTCCTCTTCAGCCCAGCTCATCCAGGGGGCTCCTGTGCCTTGGGGGTTAGTGAGTACCTCTCTGACTCAGCAGTAAAACATCCACAGGTCCCTTCCTAGCTAGCGTCTTGTGTGATGTTCTCTGTCGGCCAGAGCCTAACAGGGCAGGTCAGGTGAGAGGACGAATGAATCAAACTCCATCCTCATCCCTAAGAATAATGATAAATAACAATATTCTCTCCTTGTATAACAGCAACATGGGGGCAGGGGGTGTTCAAAAGCCTTTTTTAAGGTACTTTTACCTTGTGGCCTCTGTCAGGAATGAAGGATGTGTAAACCCACACTTGGATCCATTAGAGGAATCACTTTTGCCTCTCTCTGAAGCCCATCACTGCCTGGCTGAGAAACCCTATTTGTGTAACAGGGAACACACCATGACTGGGGGAGCCTCCTTACGACAGGGCTCTCATAAGAGAGATGGGGAGGTGGGGATAGACCAGGTGATTAAAGCAGAATTTTAACCAGAATGTTCCTCCAATAGTCAGGCCAAGCCTGCGCACGTATGACACGATCCAGAAGAGTTCTTTAATCAAGGGCTTTATGAGACGGACAAAAAAAATGGATGGAACGTGGCCGAGCCGGACCCACACACAGAGAGGAGAGATAAGGACTCCTGTGTTTGCTCTATGCTTAACTACAGGAGAGACGCCGTGGGTTCTGATCACACTTTCAAGTCCTGTAAGGAACTTGGGATAACCAGCCTGCCTGCCTGGACTCGCCTCTTTCAGCCTCCTCCGTTCCAGGCTGTGGGTCCTGCGCTCCAGAGCCGCCTGCCCTGGGAGTCCGCTTTTTCCCTCCAGGTGGTCAGGGCCAAGATCCTGGTCTGGGTTTCTGCAAGTCCTCAGCGTTCCTCTTCTGAGGAGGCTCCGCAGGATTCTGCCTTGGGTCTAGCTCAGGAAGGGCTACTGAGGCTGCGGCTATGCTCCTCTCTAAACTGACGCCCAGGTGCTGGGGTTTGTCGGGCGAGTGTCTCCTGGGACCTGGACTTTCAGTGCTAATGCTGGGGACATTCCAGGCAACCTGGGGCGTGTCGGTCACCCTACCCACTGCCCCGATCCTTCCTTCATCCTAGGGGCTGTGTTCTCTGCATCCGGGGAGAAGTCTCTGCGCGTTCTAACGCCGCCCCGTTGACCTCTCATCTTCCCCACTACCCACGGCTGAGGCCTGAGCCTGCTACGTGACTGTGCGCCGCGGAATGTGGCGTGTGAGTCTGAGTGATCGTGCGTAATTAAACGGAGCTCTTTCCTTTCTGTGTCCAGAGTCCCTCTCAGCCACAGGCGTCTGCCAGGCCTGCCTGAAAGGCTGTTGAGGTGTGCCTGGGGCTCACTCTAGCATCCAGCCCCTTCAGGCTTAGAAGTTTTGCTGTTTCTCTGGGTTAAAATATCATCTCTGCTGCTTCTATGGAAGACTGGCGTTTCTCTCTCGGTTCAGATTTGTTCCAGGCCGAACGTTCTGATGTTGGTCTGGGACTCGTGTCGCTCTCCTCAGTTTCTCTTGTTTCCTTGGTGCTCACATGGCCAACTAGGACGTTTTGGTTGTGTTTTTGGTTAGGAGAGGCTCGTCTGTTGCCACGGCACCTACAGTCATACAGAACCTTCCAGCGGTAACCACGTGACTTGATGAGACAGCCAAAATGCAATTTATAGGATCTGCTGGGAGTCATGTGGCAAATCCACGCCTATGGGCTTGGCGAGTGCGGGTAAGGCACTGATACCATCAGCTCCGGGCAGAGGTAATCTGTTTGCAATTCCAAACTCATTATTTCTTTATTTGCATTCAGTATCGCAAAGCCATTCATGAGAAACATATTTTTAAAGCATCATTACTATAAAATTTGTTAAACCGAGTGTAAACATTTTATCAGCAATATGTTCTGGAGGGGTTTTTTTCTCCTTCTTTTTCTTTTTTGTTTTTTAACTGAAACGTTATTTCACAGCTGCCTGACTCCCAGGCTGGGTCACAAGTTAATGATGTCTCTACCTTGGAATGAACTTGGGCTGTTGCCGGTTGTTCTGTCGTGAATTAGGCCATACTGAGTTTTTCATTCCTTATGGTTGCGGCAGGAGGCAGTGCATCATCATTATGAAGCTTTCTTTTTTACTTTATCTTGCACCATCAAGTGTAATCAGAGGACCAAGAGAGGGCCTGTGTCCCTCAGAAGGCTATTTCAGGCACAAAAACATTCAGTTTACTGGTCTCGGGGGGCCTTAGTGCTCCCTCCACGAGGCAGTCTACTCGACACAAATGTTATCCAGACAGCAGAGATGCTCTTGAAAAGAGAGACATTTCAAAGGGTAAAGCCAGATTCCTGTTTGGCAAACGGCATCCAAAAGTTAAAATGGCTGTGAGGGGCTGGCCCTGTGGCCTAGTGGTTGAGTTCGGTGCACTCCACTTTAGCAGCCCAGGGTCGGTTCCCAGGTGGGGACCTATACCACTCGTCAGTGGCTATGCCGTGGTGGTGACCCACGTACAAGAGGAAGATTGGCACAGATGTTAGCTCAGGGCAAATCGTCCTCAGCGGAAAAAAAAAAAATGGCTTTGACCCTTTGACCCTGGACGTATTCTGATGTTACAAGTTTTTAAGTTTAGGTTCATAAGTTTAGGATTCAAAATTGTGTTTGTTTCCTCCCAGGCATGCTGTTTGCGAGTACAGAGCGGCACCAGAGAACAGGAGTGACTTGTGCTCAGAACAATTCAGTCATTTCCACGTAAGGGGGAAATGATCATCAGACATGTGGATCCATCGCAGTCACCTGAGTTGGAACCCTGGCTGCATTGAGCTGTGTGGCCTGAGACAAGTTACTCAGCCTTTCAGCTTCATCTTCCTTACCTCCAAAGTGGAGATAACCATGCTCATTGTAAGGATGAAAAGGTAGGCCAGATAAAAATTTCGGTCGTGGTTTTTTGTAGTATTATTACTTTTTCAGCTGTTTCTAAAGCTGTCATCGTTCAGGTGGCTGTGCTGCAGGGATCAGTGGGTGCCAGGGCTGTAAGAGCAGGGCCGTGAAGACCATCGCAGATTCGCTACCGACGAGAACGACCTCATCTATTCCAGTCTGTCCCCCACCACAAGGGTATTAGCTGCCCTGTATGTTTGAATCATCACTCCAAATGGATTTCTCTATACATGCGTTCCTCACCCCAGCCCTGTGGCTAGGACAGACCTGATTACCCACAGAGGCATTAAGAGAAAAGATCACTTTGAAGAAGAACGTAGACTTTTATAGATCATTTGGAAAGCAACTGCAGCCAGATAACAGCTAGCTGTATGCTTTGCCCGCAGTTTGAAGAAGGGCCCTTGGGGAGTGTGTTCCTGATACTCACGACCTTCAGGGCTGTGGAAAGGGAACGCCGGCGTTTATGCGCTCCCTGAGCTGGTGTGAAGTGGGGCGGGCCCCAGAGGCTCTGGGCTAGGCTGTGATTCCCAGTCCTCCATGGAGACTGGCCTCACCCTGGGCCCCATGTGAGTGGAGGCAAACAAATACAGTCTCAGCATCAGTACTTGGGGCCTGGTGGGCCCATTGGTGGGCTGAATCCTTTTTTTAAAAATGCTGAGTTTCTGTTCTCAAGGCCCTGGTTGCAAGGCCATCTCCCAGCCACCAATTCTCAGGCTTACCTATAATATGTTAGCTGTTGTGCAAAGTCTCAGGGGACCATGGTCTCTGCCATCAGGGAATTGGTAATCTGGTGGGGGAGATATGCAGGGAGATAGTTAACTACTGTTCTGACGATAAATGTTCTGAAAGAGGGAATATTATGTGTGAAGAGGGATCTAAAGAGATCCCGAGTGATCAGAGAGAGCCCCTTGGGAGACAAAGTTCCTGAAGGGTGAGTGGGAATTTGCTAAGCGAAGAACGAGTAAAGGTTTCATGAAAGAGAAGTGGTGTGTGACAATTTCAGGAGGTGGAGAATGCACAGTGCATTTGAATCACTGAAATTAATTTACTCCAGTTGAAGGACAAGCGCTCGCTGGGGTTTGGAGCGGTGAAGTAGCAAGATATACACCACAGAGGAGGGCAAGGTCAGGTCACGCACGGCCCAGGAGAACACAGAAAGGAGCTTGGAGTTGATTCTGACGACAATAGGAGAGCCACTGCAATTTTATGAAGAGGAACGGTCAGATTTACAGTAGAGAAATTCATTCTGCGGTGTGGAGTGTGGACGTAGGTGAGACGTGTTGACGGCCTTAAATAGGGAAGTGACAGTGAGTAATGGATAGTGGAGCAGAAGTGTATCAGGCTGAGGAAGATGAAGGAGTCAGAACTAAGACCTGGGTTTCTAGACTAAGCTGTTGAGAGGTTGGTGGTACAGGATTCCCATTTGATTTTTTTTTTTTAAGATTATAATTCTCTGGTCAAACGGTCTGTATTTTTATATATTTTCTGGAACCTAGTAATTATAGTTATTTTAAAGTATACGTCTGATGACTCCAATATCTGGATTGCCTGTGGGCCTACTGATATTGACTATTTTTCTCTCGGATTTCACAGACTTGGTCTTGCTTCCTAGCATGACCGTTAATTTTTATTTAATTCTGGACATTGTGTTTAAAAAGTTTTAGAGGGCTGGTCCCATGGCCTAGTGGTTAAATTCGGTGCACTCCACTTCGATGGCCCAGGTTCAGTTCTCGGGTGTGGACCTATGCCACTTGTCAACAGCCATGCTGTGATGGTGACCCACGTACAAAACAGAGGAAGACTGGCACAGGTGTTAGCTCAGGGTGAATCTTCCTCAGCAAAAAAAAAAAAAAAAAAAAAGTTTTAGAGACTTGAGATGATTTTTGCCTCCTCCAGAGAAGAATAAGTTGTCACTGTTTTCTTCTTCTTCCTATTTTTTCATTTTGAACCTTTAACGAGAAAAAAATATATATTGATACCAAGCTCAAGGAAAAGTGTGTTTGGTGTGTCACTGGGTCATGACAGAGACAGCAAACAGGACATCCATAAACAAAGATACACATGGTCACTGAATGAAAAGTTGGTTCCTGGCGTGGTTCAGTCTCAGTTTCCTCATCAGCATGCTGGGGATCCTGCGGCTGATGGGGAGCAGATGTCCATATGCTGGACGTTGCAGGATTCCCTCCAACACATCTGTCTCCTGCAGTATGTGCATCTTCCTCAGAAATTTCTCATCACGCTCATGCCCGTGTATTGGTCCTTTGGGAAGCTTGATCAGATGCAAAGTATTGGTCACCTCCAGAAATGCCACCCATTCCACCTTGGGGATCATATGTGCCACAGAGTCGGCGTTGAAGTCCTCAGGGTTGATACGGACCTTGGTGGCCTGGAGGTGCAGGGGAAAACCATGGGGCCCCACCCCCACACGCAGGCTCAGCAGGTTGTAGGTGAAGAGCTTCATGTCACCACAATTGCTTTCGTCAAGCTGGAGCCAGAAAGGGGATAAGAGCTCTTCTTGCAGCAGCTAGGATACTGTTAGATCATCTTGGTTCTGGGGAGGTCTTTCTATTTCTGGTTTGCCCTTGCTCCTAAGACACAACTTTTCTGGGGACTCAACTGAACCCCTGAGTGTTTACGGAGCCTTACTCACGGCAGGCCCCAAACTCCAAGCTTTGTCTCCCAGCACTGAGAGTCTACAGCATTCCCTGCTCAGGTTTTTACTGTTGTGGCAGCTTCTTTCCCCTTGGTTTCTCTGTGTCTCATCCAACACATAGCTTGGAAATCAGAAAATGACTCAAGGGAGATCCAGCTGGAATATCAGCTTACCTCTCTGGGGTTCTTCTTTCTCCAGGGTCTTGGGCCTCAGTCCTGGTTTCTCTGTAGCTTAAACTCCAAGTTTCATCTGTCCAGCCCAGCAAGACTGCCATAAGCGCTGGACTACTGCCAATGTCATTGTTGTTGCTGTTCTGTCTCTGCTCACGCCGGGAATTGATAAATGACTCAAGGAGAAAAAACTACGTTGAACATAGGCTCACCACGTGAGTCTCGGACACTTTGGTTATTCTCTGATGCCATCAAACATCTGATTTTGGATTGCAATCTACCTCTTACATTTTGTGTTAGTCAGAGACTCAGTCTGATACAATCTACTGTGTCTTAAGGAAGTATAAGTCTGGACTTATACTTAACATATTTCTTAAATGTGTATAAACACAAAACTAGATTCAAATTCTCATATTAATAGGCTCATACAAATAAAAACCAAAACAAATTAACAAATTTAAACCAACTTATAAAATTTGGTTAACCAATTTTAAAAATTGATTAAGTACAAGGCCAATAACATTAAAATTATTGTTAATTTAATGTAATGAATGATGGGTTAAGATACGTGACTACCTCCTAACATCAGGTTTTTAATTGTGCTATGTGATGACTCAATTCTCCTCTTTTCTCTGTTCCAGCAACTAAATAACTTAGACTCCAATTTATACCATGTGCCGTGACATTATTTGGCCTTCACTTTGCATAAACATTATATTTATGCATAGATTCAAATATGTTCTTTTCTCTTTGGCTCTGAGCACTTAAAATAGCGTTCTTTGGCTGTAACACAACGGTAGAAATGAACACAAACGTAGGCACTGAAATGGCACGGCAGTCCTGGCATCTGGGGGGTCATCTTGATGTTTCAGGATGTACTTATGTTAATGTTCTTAGATGACCGTTGAAATGGAAACACAAATCTGAAAAATTGGACTCCAGTTATGGAAACCGCTCAACCATGGGTCCCAACTCTCCTCCCTCATTGTTCTCAGCCTTTTCACACCCACAAGTGAGAATGCACCAGGCCCACAAACCCCCGGCTGAAAGCTCCAGGATCCCTTGCAAGTAGTCTACACTCACGGAAACCCTTCCCAGCCCCAGCCCTGGGCCAGCACCCGCCCCTCCACCTCATTAATAAGGAGCAGGTGGCTGAGGCACTGAGGAATCCCCAGTGACACAGGGACAACCTCAGTCTCAACCTAGTATTTCCCTTCTTTCAAAAGGTGTGCATTTGTGTGTGTGCGTATTTGAGAGAGAGAGTGTGTGTCACGGGTTGGGTTTTGCCCTTCAAAATTCGCATGTTGAAGTCTTAACCCATAGCACCTCAGAATGTGACTGTAATGGAGACACGGTCTTTAAAGAGGTAATTAAGTTAAAATGAAGTCATTAGGGTGGGCCCTAACCCATACAACTGGTTTAAGGACTTCTAAGAAGAGATTAGGACATAGAGCTACACAGACGGAAGAGCATGTGAAGACACTAGGAGAACGCGGCCATCTACTCGCCAAGCAGAGACGTCTCAGAAGAAACAACCCTGCCGACACCTTGATCTGGGACTTCTGGCCCCTAGATTTTTGACGAAATAAATTCTGTTGCCTAAGCCACCCAGTCTGTCGTCCTGTGTTATGACAGTCTTAGCGACTAACAGAAAGACGGGGAGGGAAGAGTGGAAGAGAAATAAAATGAAAGGGAGAGAGACGGGTTTGGCGGGCACGCAGACGAGATCCTGGGGGTTGATGGGTGCAGGGAGCAGAGGGCAAGGCCCAGGGTGCGCCCCGGTCTGGCTGCTTCCCACTCAGAAAGGGTCTGTGCTTTCAGAGAGGGCCAGACACTGCCTGGAGATTTGGGACTTTATTGTGGGATCTGTTACACAATGGCAGGGAGAGGCAGTGGGCGACACTGCTTTTACTTAGCTCCTGGTCTCTGTTCTGGGCCTGGCTGACCATGGGGTTGAACAGACAGGATGAAAAAGCCATAAATCCATAACCGAGAGCAGGAAAGGAGAGCAGGAAGCTGAGAGAGAACAGAATTAACCCAGATCTAGGTGCCATTCTAAAAATCTTCACACACACACATATACACACACGTGCACACACACATACACACACATATACACACTTACACATGCATACATACATACACATACACACCCAAATGCACACATACACTTACATACACACACATACACACATACATACACACACACATTAATGCAAACTCTCCACCAGGCAGCATTCAGCGTGGGATGGTGGAAAAGGTGTTGGACTTAGAGTCAGAGACTTCAATTTCAATTCCAGCTCCGCCACTGACTTGGGTACAACCTTGGACAAGACATTTAGACTCTCTAAACCCGTGTTTTTCAATTTCTCAAATGGAGACACTGACATCTCTTTCACCACATTATTAGAGAAATAAATGAGAAAAATACGTGGAAAGGGGCTGAGCCTAGTGTCCGGCACGTGGTGGGAACGCAAAAGATGCTGCTTTTCTCCTTTGAGCAGAAATAGACCCTTTCCTTCCACTATCAAAGTGCAGAGCCCTGCGTGTTTAGCAGTCACTGCAAAGGGTAAATAAAAGCTACCTGGGAGGCTGCGGAGCGCGGGGCTGGATCACTGAAGGCAGGGGACGCAGAGGTCGGTGTGCGGGGAAGCAGACGGGGACTAAGGAGGAAGACGTCTGGGGTCCAGGGAGGTGAACTTCATCATCAGAACAGCCCCCGAAAGGGAGACGAGGCCACGGAGACGAGGCCAGGGAGACGCTTTCGGCCCCTGCAGAAATGCCACCGGGTGGGGGCCCCTGGAAGTGGAGGGGGCGGAGGCGAGCCGGGCGTGGCCCTGCGCGGCTGCCCAGAGAGGCCTGCGGGAGGAGCTCAGGCGGCCCGAGGGGAAGGGCCCAGGTCTGGGAGCAGAGGCCTGCTCTCCGTCCGTCCGGTTTCGCTGGCCTGGCCTCCCTCCCAGTGAAAGGCGACGACCCAGGGAGACGGGAGCTCTCTAAGGAAGCCTGGGAGCGGAGACCAGGCAAGGCTGCTCTCTGTCTTAACTCCTGCTTCTCCTCAGAGAACAGCAAACGTAAAGGTTAACCCAAGGGAAAGGGCTGTGCAGGCGAAACCACCCAAGGCTTGACCGTCTCAACAGTGTTTCAGCGTAAGGAGAAGCTCAGGTGCCTGTGGCATGCCAGGCCCTTACACAGAGTCGGCATCTTCTCTAGGTGCCTGTTTGCGTTAAAGAGGCCGGAAGACGTAAAGTCACCAAACACCGCCACAGGCTGTTGATTCCAAAGTGGAAGAGCCCCAATTTATGAACGTAAGGCTCCCAACAGCGGGCAGGATGGGGGTCTCCTCCTTCGGGGTGGGTGTGGGCCCTTGGGTGAAACGCGCAGCTGTGTGGTGCTCCGGTCCTGGGGCTCAAGGGAGGAAGACATAGGGCCGTGACAGCTAGAATCGCCTCCGATATGTGGTTGTGCAGGGGGAGGGTGGGGTGGCTTTTAATTTTATCATGCGTGTGTCTGCCCAGTGTCTCGCCTAGGCCAGGCACTCAGTCAGTGTCCAATACATGCCTGTTGGAGAGAGAGAGTGAGAGGAGGAAAAGCAGCTCTCAGTAAAATCACTACCATTTACATAGTGCTTACTGGGTGCCGTGTTTCCCTAAAGATTTTCCACATGGACTCAGTCCTCCCATTATTGTTATGGGGTAAGTTTGTGTTACTGTTATTATCCTCATCATCCCCATTTTAAAGATGAGAGAACAGGTACAAGAAAGTTCAGTAATCTGCCTGAGGTCTAGGACTGCCAGTAAAATACAGGTGTCCAGTTAAGTTTGAATTTCAGATAAATGATGAATAAATTTTTAGTGTAAGTATGGGGATATTGACACTGAAAAATTGTTGTTTATCTGAAATTCCAAGTTAACTGGATGTCCTGTATTTTTATTTGCTAAATCTGTCAACCCTACCAAAGTGACATGACCCCTGAGTGGCAGAGCAAGGACTGACACCCGGTCTCCACCCCTCCCACTGCGCGGGATTTTCAATGTGCCAAGTGCTTTTTCACAGACATTATCTTTGGGGACTTAACTTTTTCTGGTTTTGGGTCTTTTTAGGTTTTCAACTTTTTGAGTCAGTTTTGGTAACATTATTTTCTTAGAAAATCATCCACTACCTTTACATTTCCAAAGTAGTTTGTCGTAGCACATTGTCAAAATTTTAAAACCTTCTTATTTTTTGTCATTTTATCTTTTTTGTCATTCCTGATGGGTTTATTGTCTTTTCCCTTGTCAAAGATATAACCTTTCCATTGTTTTACACTTTTTCCCAAAAACAAACTTTTTATTATTTATGACCACAGAGTTTTCTGTTTTCATTTTTATTTCCTTCTATCTCATTTAATTTTATTCTGAACTTGTCCTATTTTCTTGAACTATATGTTTAGTTTATTATTTAAAATTTTCCTTGTTTCCCAATACCTAAAATTAAGGCTACACATTTTCTACTAAATATCACTAATTGGCTAATTCCCATAAGGTTTTAATATGTAATCTTCTCAATTTTTTCCTAATTAAAATTCCAGTTTTGGTTTCTTCTTTAATTCACAGGTGATTTAGAAAAAAGATTTCCAAGTGGACTTTTATTTGTTTGTTTACTTTATATGGACTAAGTTTTTCTTGACATTTTCTAGTTTTGTTGTATGATTTCTGTTTGTTTCAGAAATAGCTGACATTTTCCTCGTGTCCTAATATATAATGAAGGTTCATAGGGTGTTTGAAAAGTGTGCCTTATCTATTTGTTGAGTATGAAGATCCATGTCTGTGTGTGTATCACGCCAAGTTTGTTAATTACTCAAGCCCTCTATAGTTTTAATTCATTATTTATCCACTAGATTTTGTAAGTTCTGAGAGAAGTGCGTTAGAGTTTCTTAATATGCTTGGGGATTTGCCCATTTGTTGTATTTCTGGAAGTCATTGCTTTGTATATTTTAAAGTTACATTATTGGTACATTAAAGCCTTTTGTCTGTTAGAACATCTTTGCGGATTTCACCTATCATTGCAAAATACCTATATTGTTTTACAAGACTTGTAACTTCAAAATCCACCTAATATGATACCAATATTGCCGTCCCTCTTTTCTATCTGTTGGCACCTGCCACGCCCCTTCACAGCCTCTCTCAGTCATTTTTAGGTGCAGGCCTAGAGCGTAAAATTGGAATTTGCTTTTTCACCCAATCTTACAGTCCTTGTAGTTTCTTTAAAACAATTTTATTGAGGATAACTGATGTATAGTAAACTATACATGCTTAAAGTGCACAGCTGTACGCCCATGAAATAATCACCATGGTGATTGTTTTTAATGACTGTCTAATGATTTTTTTCCTCATTATTTTTAATAGGGACATTAAATACAGCGGCCATAATTGAAATAAAGGAAGTATTTGGCTTTATTTTATCTCATTTTGTGCTTTCTGTACTATTATGTGTTATTTGTTCCTTCTTTTTTCCCTGACCAATTTTTACATCGTTGATGGAGTTTTTATTTTTAGTTATATTTTGGCCTCTGGTGATTTGGAAGCTTTTCTAGATGTTTCTGTTTTTTAGTGGGTACATATATTTTGAAGAGTATATTCAAGTCTGTATTTCTCTATCAACATACTTAATGTCCCGATTTCCCAAGAGGAGACTTTTTAATGTAGTTTTTATTCAATTTAATCCCAGCCACAGACCCCACACCACAACGAAGCGGTTAGTATGTGTTTTCTTCTCCATTCTCTCTATCTCCCTCCCACCAACTCCTGGGTTTTGTTGGAATCCTTTGGAATTTTGGTTCCTAACTTATTTTTCTGTTTTTCTATCTTTTAATCCCTTGTGCTGCCCCTGGCAATCCCCTCACAGTCATCTATCCGATTTGGCCATCACTGTCACGTGCTCAGTCCTCCTGACTGCTGCCCCACCCCTTTGTCCCACCGCTCACTCATTGATGCTTCTGGCATCTGACTCACTGTCCCCCTTCTCCATTCCTGTCATCGTTCTGGGGGCTTCATCACCCCTGTTGATGACTCAGCCAACATTCTCTGAGTCTCGTGCTCTCCTGTCCTCCAGTGGAGTGTCTCAGATGTCACCTCAGTCACTCACTCAGGTGTCCATTCCCCAGACTTTGTCATCATCAATAACTAGACTCCCTCAGCCACCATGATGTCGTGGCTCCCTTGCACCCCATCTCTCCAGCTCCCTTGTCTGGTTCTTCTGCGCAGCTTCTCTCCAGTCTGATCTCACCACTTTTTACTCTCCATGACCCTCTCATGTCCTCCTTTCTGTCCTCATCCAGCTTGGATTCCATGATCCAGCCCTATAGTCTCCCTCACAAATTCTTTTAACTCACTTGCCCCTTGGTCCTTGTAATGAGTTTAATAGTGGCCCCTGCAAAAGATACACCACTTGGAATCTATAAATGTGACCTTATTTGGAAAAAAGAGTCTTTGCAATGTGATTAACGATCTTGAGATGAGATCGTTCTGGATTAGGGTGGGCTCTAAATCCAATGACAAGTGCTTATAAGAGAAGAGAAAAGAGACACAGAAACACTCAGAGCAGAAGATAGAGGCAGAGATT